CCACCGTGGTACTCCCCTCCCTCGCCTTCCTCCCATGGGCCACGCAGCCACGGCTTGCGGGAGAGAAGCCAATCAACAGGACGAAAACAGCTGCAACCCTTCAATTTAACCTGGACCGTAGACGTTGCAGCAAAAGTTAGGCGTAACTTTGGGCCTGATTGATTGGCAGTGCGACCTAGCCTGGCGTTCCCACAAGACAGGATAAGCACATGCAAATGCTGTTCATTTGTTGGTTTCAGCCAGAACTTATCAGTCAGTCAATAGTGTTTTCCTCTCAAAACATACCAGCATCTGTCGGCCTTATCAGTTCAGAAACTAACCAGCGAACAGGCTCAAAACTATTATATTTGGTTGGTGTATGTATTGAGGCTGGCTGAAAGAGATAGTATTTGGCTACCTGCACCGCATGAGACAAAAGTAGATAAACATGTGTTACTGAGATATTTATTTTGTACAAATAAACTTTTTAATAGTTCTTACTTTATCTTATTATCCTATGAAATATGTTAATATCATTAATATACACTAATCATACGCTAATCCAGTCACTAGTTGGCGCATGGTGTACATGCCACGGGCCTGTATCGCCAGGAATGTCCAAAGAATACGTATCCACAGGTGCAGCCTCCGAGTTGCCTTTTGCACTAACTGGGACAGGCTCTGACGCTTGTGCAGGCATCAAAATGTAAGAGACTGCATGCCGTGAGGCTAGTTCGACCTCCATGCAGCCAACCAATCACGCTCTTACCGAAGAAAAGTCACCCAATCTTCGTCCCCGTCGAGGCCGAGCGCTAGCTCGGGCGGTGCGTCTTCGCAGTGGGCGAACGGCGGGTTCGATCCCTGGATCGACCGCGTTTCCTCACCGGGGTTTTCACCTTATGTCAGTGCAGCCTCTCAACGCATGGTCAAAGGGACTATAACGCGGGATGAAAGTGGTATCAAGTGCAGCCTCTCAACGCGTGGTTCCACAAAGGAACTACGACGCGGGGTGAAAGTAGTATTCGAATTCTAAGGATATAAAAAAGGGACTGCGACGCGGGGTGAAAGTGGTAAGATATCAAAAAGTGTTTAATATCTGCGCGTGGATGCAGATAATCTGAATCCGATTATATGCAGATACGGTGTAGAATATGAAATCAACGAAATCCGGCGGATATGGATTATCCAATAATTGAACGTGGATTATCAACACTTATAAGAGGATAATTATATGCGGTTGCGGTGTAGGATATGTGATCAACCAAATCCGGCCGATATGTATTATCCGATAATTGAACGAGGATTATCAATCTGAATATTTACAAGTGTACACAAGTCAGCCCAGCCCACGACACAAGTATTATTATATTATAGCCCAGAAGCAAAGCTCGTCAACTATCTATACTAATTTAAGTATCTTTTCACATAACATGTAATTATAATCGTAGTGATTGGCTGTAACTAAGGATGAAAACGGAAAGGAAATATCCCGAACCGAACTGCATCGTTTTCTACATTGGACCCGAGCGAATTCGTATTTTCGGACAAAATACGGAATACTAAATTCGAATTCGAAATTCGGAACACCAAATTCGAAATCGGATCGAATTCGGTTTAGGCTTTGTTCGACATATTTCTACTTTTCTACTTTTAATTCGGAATATCCCGAATTCGAAATTCGGTTCGAACCGAATTTGATCCTTGTTTATGTGAGCGGTGCCCGAGGCCTCGCCCGCTCGCTTTGTTGTTGCCGACGCCGCCGGGGAGGAAGATGAAGAGCCTCGTCATCATCGCGGCCCTTGCCACCGGCGCCGCCGTCCTCCCTGCGCCAGGCCTCGCCCGCGTCTTCCGCGAGGAGGGTCACTCGCAAGGGACGGCGACGGGACGGGATGGAGCGCTTCGCCAAGATGACCTGTGTGGCGAAGCTTCACCGGGCCGCCGCCTTCCTCCTCCTCGCCGTGTCCGGTGACCTCTACATACAACGCGCTCCCTCGTCGACGTGTCCGCCGGGCGTGGCTGGCGGTCATCGCACCGTGCTTCTTGCCCGCTTCACCTTCACCCGAAAGGCACGTAATGCCGCCGCGCGCAGTGGCCACGCTGCCCTCGCTTCGCCGTGGACACGCTGTGGCGCGTCGCCGGCGGTAAGTCGACGAGGCTGGCGCCGTGCACTGCCGCCGCCGTCTCCTTCGCCTCCTCGCTGCCTCGTCCTCACCACGTATGCGCCGCCAAGAGCGGGCCCGATGGCGCCAAGTACCCATGACCATGTGCTCTGTTGTCTGCTCGATTGATGTCTGCTGGCGCAAGCGCTGCCCTCAAGAACGGAACCGCAAGGCGGCTGTCGATGTTCCGTGGTGGCCACTGGCCAGTACTAGTACAAAATAGGAGTACAGTCTACAGAGGTGGGGAGAGAAAAAAATTAAGAACTTGCATGGCATGTGTCTATGTGAGCATGTTGGGACATTTTGGACGGCACTTGTTTAATGCTATGTACTTGAACTAGATCATGCATTTGTTAGTTGTGAACTTGTCATGTATTTGGTCGTGCACTTGTTTAATGCTATGCACCGTGGTCGGTATTTCGTATTGAATTTTCGCATACCGACCGTGTTCGACATAATTCCGCTCGAATTGGTTCGTTTCCGAAATTCTAGATATTCCGTAAGTTCGTGTTCGTTTTCGTGTCCGGTTTGTCCGCTTTCACTTTCGCTTTCGTATTTTAAATGTAAAAGTAGAAAACGGTTGAGGAGTTTTTCGACCGAGTTCGACCGTTTTCATCCTTAGCTGTAACACCTCAGCTCATTAGTAGCCTGTAGTAGTTGTGAAGTTGGCCTATGTAGCTCAAGTGGCACATGTGGAGTTGTTGTTGGTGGGTTTAGTACCACCTTGGAAGTTTAGGATGGCGAGAGCCAGCTTATAAGCCTTGTCGTTCCAAACATAGCACCTCCGGGTTAACCCTTTTACACGAAGCGAGGACGAAAGTATAAGAGAGATGCTACGCGTATGCAAGCCCGTTTCATATGCGGAGCTGGGCCATATAAGCAATTTTTTGACGCGGGGTGTTACATTAGCCGATTGGTGACCATTGGTGGCTAATCAGCAATGGCGACACGCAGTCCTACACTTGAACAACGCTTGTTTGTTTTATACTCTTAAATCCAATATGAGAACTTGTATTAATTTTTGTGAGCTCTTAAACTGAAGCGGTGGATTGATGATGATTATTTCATGTTGTATTGCCGCTTTTATGACTTTGGTGGATGAATTATTTTTCATCATAAAAAACAACAAGTAAGCACATATTATCGGACTTAAAAATGTCCGCTTCCGCTCTGACACCGGTCCGAGAATCCGTACCATTTCCAATAACCTAAGAAATCCGTATTTGCATCTGAATCCGTGTAATATCCGATCCGCTCCGAATCCGATAAAATAAAATGAATTAGGATATGGGGAAGACATTACCCGCTTCGATCCAATCCGTTTTCATCCCTAACAGAGCTTGTGGCCTCTGGTGATCTCTTTAAGGACGCATCTTCATATCTGGATGCATACAAGGTGTGTGAGTATGGTGTGCGTGTGTGTGGTGTACTCCCTCCGTCCCACCACATTTGCACGTCTACTATTTGAATTTTTTCCCAAAATAAAAGATAACATGATGTGTGGGACCAAAGAAACACATGGGCCAAGACAATAAAATAGTAGTAAGTTATGACAAAAATAATAAAAGAAAAAGAAAAACCGCAACACGTGTACCTCTGGCTGGATTCCAGAAGCCTCTCAGCCACTCATGCGAACACTCTTTGCTGCTGCTGCACCTGTGCCAATGATGTCTGCTGCACCTTTTTAGGGGTAGATTGGTAATTTCTCAGCTACAACACAACATTTACTCCATTTAAATCTTGAACGTGCTTTTATTTTAGAACGAAGGGAGTAGGTGTGTATATATATAGCAATAGATGCTATGGCTGTATCTAGATGAGAGGCATAAAAAAAATCTTTGGCCCCGTCGGGGGGGGGGGATGAGGAGACGGAAAGAGGGGGCGGGGAATGGGGAGAGAGACATAAAGAGAGGGACAACATTTTATAAAACAAAAAAAACTGTAGGATTTGATAATGGGCTTCGGCATCTTCATAGGCGGGTCTCACGTTCAGGGACGGATATTAGGAAATCCGCTTGTATTAATGGTTTTTAGGAGATGAGACTGCTTCCTTGCATAGATTGAGACGAAATCCGCTTCTGCTAATGGATTTTAGGAGATGATACTGCTTCCTTGCATAGATTGATTGTATCTGAAAATGGTTGAGCATTTTTAAAGTAAAAAATGATAGACAAAAATGATTTTTGTTCGTCAGAATAAATAAAAGGCTCTGTCTTCTAAATCATTCATAGGGGAGTACAGCTGTTACTAATATTTAGCCTGAAAATTGACGCCTCGCCTCGGATAACCTCAACGTGGGTCTCTACATTGGTGTAGATGCTCTCGAGATTCGGTTTCACGTGACAGAGCCTCATCAACGAGGCACCTTCCCCAGTCGCGGCCGCCGTTCGGGGACAAACACGCCACGCCCACGTTGTCTTTGTCTTGCGAAGTTCGCCCCCATTTCTTGGTTCCGTGGGGTCGAGCTCTGACACTGTGACCTCCACTACTCCTCCAGTTAAGGATGAAAACGGTCGAACTCGGTCGAAAAACTCCTCAACCGTTTTCTACTTTTACATTTGAAATACGAAAGCGAAAGCGAAAGCGGACAAGCCGGACATGAAAACGAACACGAACTTACGGAATATCTAGAATTTCGGAAACGAACCAATTCGAGCGGAATTATGTCGAACACGGTCGGTATGCGAAAATTCAATACGAAATATCGACCCACAGTGCATAACATTAAACAAGTGCACGACCAAATACATAACAAGTTCACAACTAACAAGTGCATGATCTAGTTCAAGTGCATAGCATTAAACAAGGGCACGACCAAATACATAACAAGTCTAGAACAAGCAATTAACATAACATGAACGTCTACAGTTCATCAGCATCATTCATGATGTCAGGAATAGGATCACTTTCCATGTCTTTTTCTTCCTCATTGTCCTCCTCAGCGTCCTCTTCCCCCTCCTTGTTATTGTCCTACAAGTTTGTAAAGTGAATTAAAATTAGATGTAGCAACTAGCAACTAGCATGGCACTAATCACTTTGGTCTCCATCTGTGTTCTGTGTCGCTCCCAAACATTCATCTCGGTTGAGACTGAATGACAACTTGGTTTATGGAGAGTGTTGGTCTGCTGATAGAGTTCCACTCAATTCTAATCAACTGAATGACAACTGTTCCCAGCAAAGGGCCCTAGTAAATGGAATCTCAGATAGCCTTGCCCAGGTTTGGATAAGATGCATTGAGAACTACCACAGTGCCACTCGAAGACATTACAGCAGCTACTTCTTGACCATGGGAAACTAGTATCAATCAGGCAATTTGAGGGTAAGCATGTCTTATGTTTTTCACTTTTTCTTGCTATCAACATGGAATATCTTTAAGTGGGTTACTTATCATTTATCGCTTGCTGTCACTAAGATGCTCATACTACTTTCTCTGAAAGCAAAATACGTGGTCCTCATTGATTAGTCTTTTTTTTATGTTTTGTAATACACTTAAGATTTCATCTTCAGACATGTGATTCAAGTCTGTAAGAAGTATGTCAGCGGTATCCACAAAGGTTGAAATAAATGCATCTCTCAAAGTTGAAATTGAGTTAAATTCTCCATATGGCCCAGATATTTTAAATGGTTGGCTACCTATTCTCTCAAGTTATTGAGTTATAATCTTCATTTTCATATTCTGTAGAAGAAGCAATTCAGCAGCATAGCAGGAGCAGCAGCAATTAGCATATTTCATAGCAAGCGGTCAATAAACGATACCTCAATTTTCAGCTTAGCCACAACATTAGTCAAAGCATCAACCTCAAGATCACTCACAATTGATCCAACCATTTTAGAATCTGAACAAAAAATTAGAAAGGAAAAAAAAAAATCAAAGCGTTATTTTCCTTCAATTACAAGTGTGTAAATCGAAAAATAGATAAGAATGAGCACCTTTATTTGTCTGCAAGCAACCCAATCCTTTGTGCAAATTAATGCCTGTACTATCTCGGGATCAAGACGACTCACGATAGGGATCAACAACACGACCAGTGAGCACTAAAAGCAGACTCGGGATACTACTGTTAATACTTGTACAGCCATTACATCCCTAACAATTTGTGAAAGGATAGGATACTCTTCTCTCTTGTTTTTCCACCACGCTAAGATGTCAAACTCACCAACAATTTTCAGTAGTGGTTCCAACAAATACCTCTCCAAATCATTTGACTCAACCACAGCAGGTTCACTTGCATCATATAAGAATTCTTCTAGGTCATGGTCTGTATTTCCCATTAATACATCAGATGTGTTACTAGGTGCAGGGGGTGCAGCCACTTCACTAGTTGTCTTTGATAATGCATGAGCGAGTAACTAATATTATAAAAGTTGTACAGCTTTCTTTACACACACTAATAAACTCATCAAGTTCAACTTGATAATGAACCCCATGGAACTTCTTCATGTAGTACTCTATGAGCCTTTTCTTATACCTAGGATCAAGAAAACAGGCTACAGCTAGAGCAATGTTGGACTGCTCCCAATATTTCTCAAATTTTGCACTCATAGCAACTGCCATTTCTCTAATGGTAGCATCTTCACTAAAGCACCAGTCATCAAGCAAGATTTTTATATCACGAAACCTCTATAGAATAAGTTTGCGATAGGATATGAAGTGCCGAGAGAATTTCAGTGAGATCATAAAATTTCTTCAAGCAACCATAAATTGTCAATGCATTGTCCCATTCATCAGAAGATGGAGAAATCTTAGCATACCTACGTCGATTTGAAGACTTCAACCTAATAAATGCATCCTTGTAGTACAAGGCATCTCTCAACATTAGATAGGTAGAGTTCCACCTTGTTGAAACATCCATTTGAATACCCCTCTTTGTATCCAACCCAGCTTCGGTGGCACGCTTCATAAGCTCTTCCCACTGCAATGGAGACCCTTTCACAGCTAGTACAAGTGATTTGACCTTGCTGAGTGTTCCTGAAATGACTTTCAACCCATCTCTAGCAACCAAATTGAGAATATGGCAGGCACATCTAACATGAAAAAACATCCCATCACACACTAGGGAACCATTAGCATTCTCTTTCAGATCTGAAATAATATCATTGACAGCCACTTCATTTGAACTAGCATTATCCAAAGTCAAAGCAAACAGTCTATTTTCAATGTACCATTTAACCATAACTTCAGTGAATGTCTCAGACAACTTTGCACCAGTATGCCTACCTTTTACATTGAAGAAACCAATAATTCTCTTTTGCATACGCCAACTATCATCTATCCAATGAATTGTAAGACACATGTATCCTTTGTTTTGGCATGAGGTCCACATATCCATTGTTGCACTAAAGCGGCAATTCATAGTTTTCAAGTGTGCATACAGAGTTTCCTTTTCTTGGAAATAATTGTCCATTATTTCTTTCCTAACAGTGACACGAGATTTTATCGGAAAGCTAGGACGGAGAGATTTTATGAAATCAATAAGATACTCATGCTCAACTATATTGAAAGGATATTCATGCATGGTTATTGCCAAATTCAATTTCTTCAAGCTAGCTTCTTGGTCATATTTGAAAGGCTGAACATGAGCTGCTCTGTAACTGGGGTTCTTACCAACTTTAAGCTGTTGTTGTCCTTTCACAAGATTGTGTGTTTTGACTTCAAATGGTTCTTGAATGCAGTCGTCCCATGGACGCCCTCAGCTCTGTACCTCTGATCACACCTAGCGAAATTGCAGTATCCCCAAATCTCCTCAATCTGCTTTCCTTCCACCTCTACATACTCCTTTTTCTTGGTGAAATAATTCCAGACCCACGATGTGCATTTCTTGTACCTCTTGCCAGAAAGGTGAGCCTCCTCTTCATCCTCGCCATCCTCTGGGTCATCATTGTCAACATTTGGAGTTGTGGTTGTTGCTGGTGCACAAGCGGGTCCAGCGCCACTGCCAATGCAACTAGTGTCAAAATTTGGAGCACAAGAACCCATCACTGACACTAATGCTGCTACTGATGCTTCTGTAGTTGGACTTTCACAAGTTCCACTAGGGCTAATACTCTGAGATGCAGACCTTTTGCCCCTTGATCCTGCCAAGAGCCAATTGAAACATTGCTAAATCAGTGCATGCCGATCCCAAATAATCAAGCAAAATGTCAGGAAAATTTGATTGTTTTTAGCCGTGTATCAAGCTAACTACAAACCCCGCGCACCAAGCACCGCATTCGAAGAAACGAAGCTAAAATCAAAGGTCGGGGTCCTAAGGGTCTTAAGCCTGCGAAAAATTGAACCTTTGCCTGCAGCTCTCCCAAATCGCACCGCCACATCCTCTCAAAAGAATCAAGAAAAATCAAAGAGCAGCACAAGCAATCCGCCCAGGATTTGTTGTGCTTCGACAAAGGTGCAGGCTTGAACCGGGGGGAGACGAGCTAGTGGATCTATCCTTACTACAGAAGGAGATGAATCAGTACCTGGCGCTGGAGAGGGAGAAGCCGTTGCTGCCGGCGGCGCAAGAAGGTGGCGCACGCTCTTGGTCTTATTCTTGCCCTTGCTCTTCGTTCCAGGAGCAGAAACACCTCCTCCAGTGGGCGCCATCAATGGGCGGAGTGGCGGCGCTGCTGGGTCGTCGGCCTTGGTGCCGGCGGCGCCCCGCTCCGGTCTCTGGCGCCGACACGAATCGAGAGAGAGAGAGAGAGAGAGAGAGAGAGGGGGGGGAGAGAAGCAGAGGTGAGGGAGGGAGCTCAGCCGGGCGGCGGCGGTCCTGGACGGCGAGGCACCGAGCTCCGGTCTAGCGAGGCGGAGAGAGAGGAAGCGAGAGTGAAGAGAGAGCAAGGCGCCGGCAGGGCAGTGGTGCTCGGCGTGAGGGAAGCAGAGCACCGGGCGATGGTGGAGCCGTGGAGGAGAGGCAGGGGAGCGGCGGACCGGCGGTGGGGCGAGTCGGGGACTCGGGGCACCGCCAGCGCCAGAGAATAGGGAGGGGAGGAGACGAGGAGCGAAAGGATTAGGGTTGTCTAACTTGGGCTGGGCCGTAGTGGGCTGTACTGCTATGCAATCGAGTGCTGGAGCAAATTCGGTTCGAACCGAATTTTGAATTCGGGATATTCCGAATTAAAAGTAGAAAAGTAGAAATCGGTCGAACAAAGCCTAAACCGAATTCGATCCGATTTCGAATTTGGTGTTCAGAATTTCGAATTCGAATTTAGTATTCCGTATTTTGTCCGAAAATACGAATTCGCTCGGGTCAAATATAGAAAACGATGCGGTTCGATTCGGGATATTTCCTTTCCATTTTCATCCTTGCCTCCAGTGTCCAGACCAGCAGCATAAATCTCTCCCCAACCCCAACTGAACCGGCGGCTGTGCGGCACTCTGCTTCTCTGCTGAGCGCTTCTTCTCTTTTCTTGTTACATTACACGGACACGGGGAGAGAGAGGGCTATGGAGGGCGCCCAAACCTTGCTGAGCAACGCCGGGCAGCTGCTGAGTTCAGAGTACCAGCAGCTCAGTGGCGTCGGCGGCCAAGTTGTTGAGCTGCGGGACGAGCTAGACGCCATCAATGCTCTCCTCATCATGCAGTCCGAGGCAGAGGATGGGGCCGTGGACCGCTTCCTGCAGGTGTGCATGAGGCAGCTGGGCGAGGTTGCCTACGACGCGGAGGACTGCATCGACCTTTACACCCTGCGCATCAGGTCCCGGCCCACCGACGGCGTGCGCGCCTGGCTGGGACGCCTGCTCGGGACGCTCCCGTCTCGCCGCCGCCTCGCCTGTGAGATCAGAGCCCTTCGCGCCCGCACCCTCGCCATCAGCGAGCGCCAGGCGCGGTTCGGCGTCAACCGTGACGCGCTGCGCCGCTCCCCTCCTCTGCTACCCGCCCCCATGACAGTGTCCGCTCCAGCTAACGACGCCGACCGCCGCCACCGACTGGTCGGCATCGCGGAGCAGGCTGATAAACTGGCTGCACGGATGAAGGCGCCGGTTGGCGACGAGGGTGAACGCAAGGCCGTTTTCTCCATCGTGGGGTTCGGCGGCCTTGGCAAGACGACGCTGGCCATGGAGGTGTGCCGGCGGCTAGAAGCGGAGTTCCCGTGGCAGGGGATGGTGTCCGTGTCTCAGGCGTTCGAGCCGAGCAGGGACCTCAAGGCGTTGCTCACGAACCTTCTTCGGCAGGTCGTGAAGCCTGAAACAGCTGACGACAGGGGCATCAAGGAAGAGGCTGCCCTGGGTGGAATCGACGACCTGGATGACAACGGGCTAGCCAAAAGACTCGAGGAGCTTCTCGTGGACAAAAGGTACTACTGTGCTCCTCTGCTCCAAATTATACGATGTTTTGCCTTTCTAGAAACTCCCTCCGTTTTAAATTATAAGTCACTTCGACTTTTTTGTTTATCCATTTTACTATGTATCTAGACATGTACCAAAAAAGTCAAACAACTTATAATTTAAAACGGAGGAAATACGTAGTTTTTGTTATGTGCGCCTCTAAATTAAAGGAGCTTCCAATTTATACTATCTAATGATAAAAGTGACTTTCCACGGACCATGGTAGTTCTAATGATACCATATTTACACTATCTATTGCTATTATAGTCTTCCTTTGAAAAGTTCACATCTACCCTAATTAGAAGTACAACGCCTGTAATGATTGTCACTATTGGATATATTCTGTTTTTCTAATTACCACATCTGACATTGTGAAAATAATATAAGGCAAGCCCTTAATCTTCATCCTAACTAACCATGCATCTATGCCACTATGAAAGTATAGGCTCATAAATTTGCATTTAAATCACTGGCCCAACCATTGTTGTAAATAACCTAAAGTAACCTATAGCAATGTCGTTACACTAGTAGAGAACAAACTTTTCATTTGGATCGGTTTTTGGCTTTAGTCTCGGACATATTTGGGCCCGGGACCAAAGAGAGGATTAGTCCCGATTGGGGCAACCAATCGGGACTAAAGTCACCTGCCCAACGGCCAGAGCCGTAGGCTTTTGCATGAGGGAACCTCTAGTCCAGGTTATGAAAAATCACATAAAGTAATTGTCTAAATTTGAATCTACCTACATCTATCATTTATAAAATACCAAAGTACTAATATATGTGCTTATACAATATCCACCTCTGACTTCTTAAATATAGAAACAAACTAACTTAAGTAATACAATCATGATGTCAGTCACCATTCGCACCAAGGTCACATTTGGTGGAGCTCTGGCCGGCTTGGCTCTAGCTCCTCCTTGGGCCGTGTAGCAAAAAGTTATTTTATCTTTCTTATCAAAATAAACTAAAAACCGTATTTTTTTGCTTCACTAGCTCGGGTTTCTCCACGCACTATAGCAAGGAGTTGAAGTCGTGACAAACATGACCTTGTATACATATTTGTATAAGAAACAATGGTCACATATCTATTTCTAGGTCAAGCATATTAGTTGAAACTAAGGTTTTAGCTAAGTATACGTCAAATACACATAGAGACGTGTGGCAATCACTACTATAGAAAACTTGCTAGAGGCGGGCGGAATCGATTAACGGAGACGGGCATTGCAACCGCTTCCAATCAAACGCAGAAAATCTAAAAAACCAAAAAACTTGCAACTTTGGAGAGTTAAACCCACAACTTGACGCTCAACACTACCACATCTCTACCACTGAACCATACACTAATTCATGTCTATATATAATATGTTATTATTTTATATCAATATTTTGTAATCTTATATTAAATACTTTGGCTACTAAATGAACTCAAATGGAAAAACTTTTAACTACAAAGTTTTAAATCTTGTTAAGTACTACAACTTTAGTGTGGGATGTATCTTCATCAGAGATAGTTTGATTTTTTTTAAAAAATTGAGTCTCAAAACATGTGAATTTCAAAAACACATATTTGAGATTCTAGATGACTTTAAATCACAAACTTGTCAGTATCAAACATGTAGATTGGGTCGGCCACTAGAACTTTGGTATTAACTATGTGAACATTTAACATTCGAACACGTATTTGGAACTCTAAATATCTTCAAATTAAAAACTTTTCAACTACAAAGTTGTAGATTCTATTGAGAACTTTAACTTTTCTATAGACCATGTCTACATCCAAGATCATTTGATAATTTTAAATTTCAAATTTCAAAATCTGTGCATTTATAACAATATTTTGGGACCCTAAACAGTTTCGGTTCAAAAACTTTTAATCTACAAAGTTGTAGATCTCGTCGAGAGCTACAATTTTGATATAAAGTTTACCTTCATCCGAGTTCATATGAAAAAGTTATGAATTATTTTTTGTTGCAATCATTAATCGAGGCATACATCTTAAGGCGCCCGCCTCCGTAAATTGATTTACGGAGGCGGACCCTTAGAACGACCGCTTCCGAAAATAAACGATTAACAGAGAAAGACGTCTTAAGTTGCCCGCTTCGGTTAATGGATTAACATAGGCGGATGCTTAATGCTGCTCGCCTCTGTTGAGCATTAACCGAGAGGCGGGTGCTCGGGCGGCGGCCCTGCCACCTATTAACGAAGGCGACCGTCTAGCCCGCCCGCCTCAGATAATAAAAAGGCACTGTCTCGCAAAATCTTTTATATAGTAGTGAATGTGGAAAACAATGAATAGGTATTAAAAAGTATATAGTAAGTATAATTGGAAACTAAAATCTATCACAGCTAGGAAAAGATAAGAAAATATCTATATAAATACCATGTTAGAACACAAAGAATTAGAGAGGAAAAATGCAAGTAGTTTGAATAGATGCGGCCTAAACTTATCTATGAATTTCTAACACTTCCCACTCTTCTAATATGTATAGAGCATGAGTTGATAGACTAGTATAAGAAATAATAATAATTGCACTTCCCACTCTTGTAACCTTGTTCTGCAAAAATAAAGAGAATGCACATAAACATTTTCATACATTTTGCACATGAGGGGTCATAAATGCCTTCTGGATATATGGCTAAACTAACTATATTACATATGCTTAAACCAGGTACCTCATAGTGATTGACGATGTTTGGAGTGTGCGAGCATGGGAGGCAATCCAATCCAAGCTACCAGAGAACAACAAGGGCAGTAAAATCATCTTGACCACTCGGATAGAAACAGTGGCCAATGCATGCAGTCCTGCTAGTTTTAGTGGCCTTTGCATTCATAAAATGGAACCCCTTAAGCTTGAAGATTCCAAGAAGTTGTTCGTCAGTAGAGTGTTTGGCTCCCTGGATGTCGCTTACCCCAAGGAGTTTGAAGATGTAATGAGCGACATCTTGAAAAAATGCGGTGGGCTGCCATTGGCCATTATCAGCATTGCTAGTGTTTTGGTAGGGTACAAATCACTAGGAGGCAAAGATAAGTGGGATAGAGTCTGCAAATCACTTGGTTCTCAAATGGAGCTCCACCCTACCCTTGAGGGGATGAAGCATATAGTCACACTTAGCTACAATCACCTCCCACATGAACTCAAGGGTTGCATGATGTACTTTAGCATTTTTCCAGAGGACTATGTGATCAGAAAGGGCCGACTATTGAACAGATGGATGGCCGAAGGATTGGTTCATCAAAAGCGGGGGTTGACTATGTGGGAGGTTGCAGAGTCTTAC